GGGGGGTGGCGGGGGGCGCGTTGTTGGGCCCCAGGTAGGTGCCATGGGTGCCCGAGGCTGGGGAGAGCCCCGGGGGCACCGCAGCGTCGGGAGCACCGAAGGACGAGTCAAACAGCCCCGAGAAGTCATTGTCCTGCGTGTTGATCAACTGGAGCATGTCTGCAAAACAGCACCGCCCCCCCGAGCTGTCAGCAAACGCGCAGACCCGAGGGGCCCCCTTAAAGCCCTGGGGGTCCCCGAGCTGGCACCATGCTGCCCACCCCACCACTTGGCACTCTGGGGAGGGATTCCCACAATCCAGGCGCAAAACTCTCTGAGAGCCCAGGAATGTGCTGTGCCCTTCTCCTTGTAGCCTCCTGGCCACCCTGCCAGTGGGGAAACTGAGGCACAGAGCCTGCAGTGGGGGTGGCTGGGCTCTGGCCACCAGCATTCAGAGGTTTCCAGCCCAGTCTGGAGGTGCCTGTTTCTGACATCGAGTGGGACAGACATGGGCTTGTGCCAGCTCATTCATGTATCATACACAGGAAACCCCAACAACCCCCACAACAGCCCCTGCATCAGGAGGGGGGGTCAGGCTGGGACAGAGGGGTGGCACAGCAGGGCTGGGACAGACCCCCGTGCCAGGTGTGCCTGCCCATGGCACCCCCCAGGAGGGCACCTGGGCAAGTGCGGGGTTAAAGACCCTCGGGGCAATTCTGCTCTGCTTGATGGGACCTGAGGGCCCCAGGATGTCCCCACTGACACATCGGGGTATCCAGATATGCCCCACTGAGATGTCCTAGGATTGTCCCACCAAAGTGCCCCAGCACGTCCCCATGGTGGCAACCCCAGGAGCACAGACCCTGGGGTGCCCCCGCTGTGGTACCCCCCATGCACACAGACCCAAGGATGCCCCACGGTGGTACCTCCATGTGCACAGCCCCCGGGGTGCCCCTGCCACAGTACCCACACACACACCTCCGGGACGCCCCCACCAAGGTGCACAGCCCCCAGACACCCCCGATGAGGGTGCAGCACCCGGAGAGGCTCCCCAGCAGTGACCCCACCGGGCAGGGAGGAGAAGGATAGTGGCGGAGGGGGGGGGAGAGGTACCTTGAAAGGTGCTCTCCGTGCCCAGGAGCAGGTTTCACCCCCCGCTCAGCCCCGTGCCGAGCAGCAAGGAGGATATTTTCAAACCATGTTGTGGCCGCCTCCCCACGCCCCCCCGCGCCCGCCCGGCCGTGGGGTGATGTGACTCCGCCAATCGCTGCCGCCGCCCCCGGGCAGCCCCGCGGCCGAGCCAAGGTGAGCCCGGCACGGTCACTGCCGGCCACCCCCCGGCGGTTACTATGGGTCAGACACCGTTATCCCCTTTGCCCGGTGCCCCCCGGACCCCCCACGTCCCTCCAGCCCCACATGACGCTCCTCACTCCATATCCAGCACCCCACAAGGACGGCGGGAATCTTTGGGCAACCCGTTTTCCCCCTAAAAAACATCCAGCCCTTGGCACCCCTGTCTGCACCAAGGGGTTTTCCTTCCTCCCATCTTCGACCCTCCCTTCCCCAAGGGTCCTCCAGAGACAAGAGAGCAAAGTCTGGGGTGCAGAGAAGGGGTCCCCTTCCTGGCCGCCTTCCAGCTGGCCAGTGCAGGGATGGGTATAACTCTCCCAGCCACACAGCACCCACCAGGTATTTCTACCCAGTGGCACTCACAGCCACCCACGCTGCCAGCCAGCC